GGGGGGGGGGGGGGGGGGGGGGGGGGGGGGGGGGGGGGTCCAGAGTAGAATTTAGCCAATTTTCATATTGAAACCTAGATGCAGAGTATTCTTCAAAGACTTACCATTATATGCTTGTCAGTCATGATTGAAAAAACTAAATATTACACTCTATGAGAAGTGTGCCAGTATACCTTCACGTTCAGATTTGAACACTAAGCAATTTTTACAAAAACAATCCAACAAGATTGAAGAAAACGTAGTTTCAATTTATTAAACATTTAATTGTAAAATGAAGTAATAAATTTTCTCTGACCTCTCCATAACAGTTTTTCAGAATGATAAAAAGAACGCATTTTCAGAAATTTCAAAACAGACACTTAAAACGCAAAACACAAAGCGAATTTAAAACTCAAAACATAAAATTGAAACACGAAAAGAACGACTTCTTCTTTTTCAATCATACATTTCCCATCATATCACTATTCAAAATCAATTCTCTCCCCCAAAAATCTCTCACAAACAAGCTCTAAATAATGGAGAGTATTTGTGACATTTGTGTTATTTATTTTTTAATACAATAAATTTATTATTATTATTATTATTATTTACATTTAAAATAAATTTTAATAATGTAAAAAATAATAAATTTTCTCTGACCTCTCCACTCCTGGACGTGGGGGACCTCCATTTATGTGCTCCAAATTAAGAATCTCCCTCAATGCCAGATGCTCAAGCACCTGAATAATGAACAGGGACCAACCAATTTGAGAAACTTTAGCTGTACTTTCAAACAAGTACTACTCAAGAACCTGTATAAAAGTACAGTGACCATCCAATTGGAGTAACTCTAATTGTACTGCATTCAAATAAGTAATTTTGGTAGCATTACTTAAGCTAGAATATACTTAATCTGAACAAGATATATATAACACTATGATAAATCATGTTTTAGAATTCTTCAGTTTTACCCTTCATAGAGAGAACAAAAATCTCCAGAAAAAAGCAAGGTGCAATATTTATTATAATACTGCCAGCTTTATGATATAAGATTCATAACCTGTCCCTAAATACTGTTAACGGTGCTCATATAACAATGGAAAAGCAATTGTGATGTTTTACATTCAAAGGGTATTTACGCTGTCATCCAACATTAGATTCTACACTGCTTAGGCCTTCCCATCTGAATTTCAACAAAGTTAGAATTTTTCAAAGTAACCATAAAACTGTTTTCTAATTGGAGAGACGGGCTATATGTCAGCCTGCTCATAAGGTATGTTTAACAGCAAGGTGTTCATGCATACAGGCAGAAGGACTATCCCAGCAGCTTGAAAACCACAAGAAAATCATGGGCAGGGTCAAGCGTGAATTTAAGGATGAGCAGTTTTTCAACCCAATAGGCTTTCCACTTGGCTTAAATTGAAAAATCAAACCCGAAGTTCAATTCCTTTTCAGATTTAATTCCATAGTTATGACATGCTTTCAGACATACAGTTGCAGATCCATGTGAACATTATATAGCAAAACAAGCCAGTTTAGAAAAACCATATAGCTCAAACAAACTTACCTTAAGAAGCTTTCGCAGAATTGGAGTCTTAATGAATTCCCTTCTATAATGCTTCATTATATTGTGTAACATCTGCAAACCTAGAGAACGAAGAGAAAGTCACTTCAATGAAAAATGGGAACATTAGGGAAAAGAATTACTAAAAACAGGAAACACTACCGTTCTTGTTGATAATATCGATCAGAACAGTTCGTGATTTCGTCTTCAAAAGTGCATCCAAAATCATTGAAAGATCTCGATTACTACAAAGGAAAAGATCACATAAAATTATTTGAGAAAACACAAAGGGTGATTTTACTAGCTGAAAGAACAAAATAAGTAATTGAATGACTACCATCCAAAGTACAATATCTGGAATTACCTCTGGATGGCTTCACCATGGCCATTATTCCCTGAAGCAGCAGTTAGAAAAAGAAGTTTCAAGTAGCCTCTCGATGCATCCTGTTAGAGAATAAGACACTTTAAATTATGGAGAATGGCTTATATACATGAACAGGCAACAGGATCAAGTGAGATTGAGATCAATCTTTATTGCAATATGACAAACAACTTCTACCACATTAGAGAAATCAGATTCGGAGCATTTCACAACATTACTTACATGTACTAAAAATTTGCGGAATGAAAAACTGAAGTTGCTTGTTTTTATAAAGTAGGAAAAAGTTGGATGCCCAAGAAAAAAGAAGAATAGGAAGTACGAGTAAGAACTTCGTAACTTACTTTTCGCTTGCTTATACCACCGTCAGGATTTAGCAACTCATTTAGTTTTGCCTCAACTGTAAGCATTTAGATGTAGAAGTTATTGCAGCAAAAAGAAAGTATAAGGAGCTCTAGATCAAAGCAAGGAACAGATAATCGTTTACCTGCTTCAAAATGGCTATTTAGGGAAAGTTCCAGTAATTTATTAGATTTATATGGTAATGCGTGTGACTTGTCCACATCTGGATTTTTTTTATCAGAATTAATTTTAAGCTTTCCCTTATTTGCTGAAGATGATGAGCGACGAGTATTCGAAAGAGTATCTGACTTCGTTAATTCGCCCCTTTTTCCCTCAATAGTAGCTTCCAATTTCCTCTTAGTTTCAACCACATCAGACAACGATTTCCTACAATATGCAGGAGTGGCCACATGGAACCGGGAGTGTTCTGCTTCTTCAGATTCAACTTTCAAACCAGCAGATGCAGATCTGTTCACGGAACCTTGAGTTTCTTTGTTCATGTCCAAATGCACAGCAGCAGCAGCAGAAAAATCCTCAAGTTGACATTCATTATGAACTAAAGTATCCCTAACTTGTGATTTGACACTTGTGCGTTCATTTGGAATCAAATTATCAGAACTTAGAATTTCTGAAGCAGTCTTTAAGAGGTAAAGAGCACTTTCCAGTTGCTCCATCCTATCCTCATTTACTGCTGTTTCCTTCACAACTTTGATTTCTCCATCACTTAAGGAAGTTTTCATAATGTCATTCCAATAATAATTCATCTCTTTGTCGTCACAGAACATAACAGGCTCCGGATATTCTTCATCAGAATCATCTTGGACAATTACTTCAGCATTTAATGGATCGCCGCCACCACCTATATATCCCCGACAATTAGGTGAACCACATACGCACTTTTTTGCAGCAGCCCCAAACACACGTACGTAATTGTAATCAAAAGTGATTTCTTCACCCTGAACATTGAAAGTTCAAAGCATAAAAGCGCATGCATTCCTTACACTACTAATCATTCAAGAAATAAGACCAGCAAAACGAATTTCTAATCAGAAACTAGAGAATCAAAACCAGCACAACAGGCAAAATGAATTGGAAAATACTTGAGCCTTCTATATGTTACTCAAAAGCCAATACAATGCCAAATGTGAGATTAACCATCACTACCACAAACAAGAAATAAGGGGGGAATAATTTCACAACAAAGAAAACAGCCCAACAGCTATGCACATATCTCACATTCTTACTGAAACAACAATACAAAATCTCACAACCTCAAAGAGAAGAGCAAGCAGGTTGGATAGAAATAGAAAATGAACCATGTTTATCGGGAGACAGAAGTTTACCTTCTTAATATCCTTTAAAGCAAATAGTCCAACACAAACTTCTCCATTCACCATCCACTGCCCAGCAGATAAGAGTTAATATTTTTCCAACACCAAAATACACGAATGAAATTATTAGTAGCTAGATCTGAAGAAACACGAACATCTGATTTGTGCTATCAAGAGAATAAATATGGAAAAGCTATATAAGTACATTGAAGAGATATGTAGTACACCAGCAGATACTGAACCTATCTTTGTGATTAACAGTCAACAAATGCTATTAGCACATAATACATTAAACAATCGAAGTGAATTCAATGTCATTTATCTGAGAGAGATTTCAGCACATCACTCATGCACACACCGTCGAGTGACAGTTACAACTTAAATTTTTAATTTCAGATTCCATGATAGCATTTTTTTTTTTGATAGTCGATAACAAAAATTTACCATGTATCGTAGAACTTTTTCTCGTCCATCTAAGAACAATGAGTTAACCTCTTCTAGGAAACAATAATCCACTATTGCCAAATTTGACCCCATAAGCTCTGGGCAGAGGAATGGGTGAACTACTACAGTTCTGATAGAAATTTGAAAGAAAAAGGTATTTTAAACAAACTGGATCCATAGTCTTCACAGCCACAATCTTGATGGTTAAAAGTTCAGATTACTATTTTCTGAGAAATAACTAGTATCCACTCCAGAGAAAATATTCGATGCCAAGTACATCACCTTGAAATGGCCTATTGTTATCTTCTCCATTTCAGAAATCTGGAACAGAAAATAGCCCTTTTTGCATCTTAATAAAAAATTTAAAAACATGGACTCCTCAAAGTGATATACTCACATTAAATAGTAGTTTATCCTAAAATGTCAAGGCAAGTCATTTCATAAACGATCTCCAATGATTGCATTGAAATTTTTTCTTTTCAAAATGTTGATGTTCTGGAGGTTAGCTTATCTCCACATTTTCAAAACCATAATCAGTAAAAATTTCACAGACTAAGCAAATTTATCGGCGTTCTATGACCTGATACTTCTTCAAAATAATAATACAAGCCAGTCAATTTCTGATGATATAAAGGAAAAACAGGAATCAAAATTTTCACTAATTAATATAGTATCAACAAGCAAAGTGAAGAAAGATGGAAAGAGGGGGAACATTATCTGCAAAAAGTGGGAAAAAATAAACCGTGCAAAAACCAGAATTATCTAAGAGATTAAAAGAAAGTTCTGCAAACTGCATGGCATTTTAATTCTCAAGTGAGACTTTGAACTATTTCCAGATCTACATAAAAAACTAAGTTTGCAAGATATTACCTTTTCTGTGCGGCAATTAGGATCGCAGCTATGATTTATGAAACGGCCCAAATTTCCTTTAGCACAGGCATCAATTACCTGGAAAAGAATCACAAAATTCAACTTCTAAAGCATGTAGAGGATCTCTATAACATCACGTCTCCAATTATGGGAAGATTTATAGGTAAAAAGTTTAATGAAAAAAAATGTCAAATCCTAAGATGATTCAAAATTGAAATGAGATTGAATGCACTTCAGCCTCATCAATCTGAAAGTAATTGACCAAGTTCTATCATATTGAATATAAACCATTCCTTCCTAACAAAGCTGACCACACACCGGCCCCAATAATTTTCAGGTCCAGGCAAGCTTTGCAGATCTAGAGTAAGTTCATGCTTAAATCACGTGCAGCCAGAATAATGATCAAATCCACATATCAAGACAAAAGAGATTCACAAAATGCTGTGTTTATCCCCTAAGATGCTAGAAAATTAAACACAACAGAAGCACCAATCCATGTGTCAAAATCGCAATGTCTAGGGAGTACAATAGAGGAAACACATTCACAACCCCAGAAGGCCCCACTCACAACCACCAGCAACAAAACCATTAAAATAATCCAACTAGTTATTTAACAAAGACCCACCTTCCTAAATAGAAATTGTAAAATAAGCAATCTACCAAGCACTTCCAGACTCCTGATACAACCACGAAATTCTAAAGAAGAAAATAAAATAAAAGCCCTAAATGTTAAATCCATTCGAGTTTCATATGATGGCTGAACAAAAGGAGACATTAGTATTGTCGTGGTTCATTTTATGTGGGGTTTTTTCATCATCGGAGAAAACAAAAGAACGGAAGGTGGAAGAGATGAACAGAGGCAGTTTGCAATGCAGCTATGTGACCTGGTTTTAAGAAAACCCTGAAGGCCTCTTCTTAAAACTGCCTTTTGAATTGGATACAAAAGGAGAGACTCCTTCCCCTCAAGAGAGCGCTTATCATTCGAGCACTTCCAAAAAATATTATAAAGGGCTACAGTAAAAAAAAATACAATGCAAGACAATCCTTTTCAAAGCAAGCAAAATTCACATGCAAGAAAGTTAGCAATGGCACTAACTGAAGTTCATGAAGGGCCTTGAAGCAATAAAACTAACAAAGTTAACGGCAGGATTAAGACCGATTGAACCAATGCAGATTCAAAGGGATGTTTTAAACACTAAATATAGTAACAAAGAGTAAGTAATGACTGTCAAACCTCGCTTCCATTCAATGTCATGAAATAAAAATGCTTATGACCCTTCAAAGCGTACTCTCTTTGACGTGTTTCATAAGCATTCATATCAAGCACCTGTGAGATCCATAAAGTCACATCAGCATATAAGAAATGAATTTGCCTCATTAAGACCCTAAATGCATAAATACTTATGAATATGAATAAATATATGTTTAATTTACTCTACATGTTAAAATATGAAACTATGAAGAAAGTTTTTAAATCAATAAATATCACTATGTTTTTGTGTGGACCTAACACAAAATTGAGATCATAACAGTTATAAATCTCCCTAGCCAGAGGTCAATGATTGCCATAAACAAACTTCTAATATCTACAGTAACAAAAAAAAATCAAAAACCCCTATCATTCATGCAACGCCCACTGTACCAAATAAAAGGGGTCAACACAACTACAAGAAAACCCTAGAGGGGAATATGTAGGCAAATGTATTGTTATCGCATGTATGCAACACAATGATGTATTTTCCAACTTTCGTAGGAACCGTGTCACATATTAAAAAAAAAAAAACTATATTTTAATGACAAGGAATAATGAAGCCCGCAAAATATTAGAATGCTAACACTTAGCAATGAAACAGAAAAATCAAAAGCTAATTTAGTGAAGACAGAATAATCAGCAACTCTAGATTGGCAAGTCGATTTAAAATAATCATCTTACATTTATACATAGTCCAAATTAGCAATAAGATGCAAAAAATTCCTCTTCCGTTCATTCCATCTAGCAAGTACAACTGTTTAACTACTTTCAACATGAAGATTTTAGAATAAATTAAGCGAACAGAATCCAAGTCACCTCTCCAACATATTCAATAAGAAACTGTCCGTCAGCGATATCTTCTACCACCTGAAGGCCATATCCCTTCTTTCCACATCTGAACCACTTTAACTTAGCATACTTATGCTTCTGGAACTGCAAGCATATATATATAACTGATCGTTAGATGCAAATGCAAAACCAATACATAAAAGTGGAACTTACTGGAAAATTAAGCACCTGTTGGTTTGAACAAAGTTCACCACATGGGCAGGTTCCTTGAACGCATTCAATGTTAAGCATCCTGTTCAAACATTTGTCTTCACAACCCCTTCGACCGTCTGACAGGGGTTTGCAATGGCAAACCATTATCTGTTAAGGAATAAAAAAGACTCAACAGATTAAAAAATAAATTTGAAATGCGTAGGATCATCTATAATGTCATTCAGGTTTCAAATACTCGTGTTCATATACAGACAAGCAGTTAAAGGTAAACATCAACCAAACAGACAGAGAGACCACATTATTCATACACGGTACTATCCTTAATATATCATTTTTGTGCACTGCTTGCAGTCTTACACTTTTTTGATATTTGAGTAGTTGGTCCCGTGCAAACTGTGATATTGAGTCAAAGAAAACTAAAGGAATCAGCATATTTCCCAAAAAAAATAATGTAAACACTCACAAAATTCTCAAGCACGCGGTGAAAGGAAGCTTGGAGCATCCAATGTTCAAATCATATTGCTGAGAAATGGAGCATCACAGTTTTGGCTAATTTATTTAAATTAAAGATTCTTAGCAACCACTCATGTTCTAAAGAATATAAAATCACACTCTAAAATGTTGGCACTTTTCATGCCTGCAGATCCCATGTCAATTGCATATGCTGGGATCTGCTGACACAACTTATAAAATCATTGACTCGTCAAAAGCATCATATCATTCCCCAATTGTCCTGTCAATACAATTAAACAGTCGCAAATTGCTTGACAAGTTCGGAAATATCACCGGACCACTAATATCTACATCGCTAACCATTAAAAGGCAGGGCAAGGCATATTTTTTAATCAATATAATCAGTCAATTCTACCCAAAAAAAGGTCTTTGTTGTACACACAAATTCACCTAGAAACACTGAAACTATCCACGAGATATATGTAAAGTAAATTTTGAGATTCGACATTAAAAAAGACACAGATAAGTGTTTACCTCATCAATGGTTTGGGTTTTGCGACTGCGATGCAGAAAGAAGTTTGACTTGATAAGCGTCCAAGATGAATGTTGAGCAACTGCAAAACACAGACTTATATCAGACATAAAGCAAGGAACTAAGGAAGAGATCACCATAAAATGCATTCGAAATTCAAATGCAGAAATCCTTATGCTGTCACATCATTGTAATGATTAAATACCAATTGATTGATTTTGGTTAGACTTCATGAAGGCGTCATCCTCACATGAAGCATCAGATATAGCCAGCTCCTTATTGATATCTGCATCTGACTTCTCTTGTGGAATTGAGCAGTCAGAAAAGTTTTTATCCTTGTTATCCTTGCAGGTCCTTTCATATGAATCAGAGACCCAAAAAAAAAAGGATATTAGCTATTTGATCCAGTCTTGCTAGTAAAATTGGTTTACCAACAATACTATTTGAACGTACATTCCATTCTTTTTCCACCAAGAACATTTCTTTAAACTCATTAGTCGTCAAATTTTGGAGTAACCTATCTTCATGCAATTAACAAGAGTCGACAAGTAAAACCAATAAAACAATAAAATTGAAGAAGCAATCCTGACAGAGTTCTATAAGAAGATTTCTTTTTTATTTCCTCTTTCTGAAACTTCCATTTTAAACATGAGCAAGTTATATGTCATTCAACAGTACAAATTTCAATTGCCAAAAGAGTGATGATACTTTAAATTCTTGTAGAAGCAATAAATCTACAAAGACAGTTCAACTGGACCAGATTGATACAATATGCACTGCTTTGTAAGATAAGCCTTGTAATAATAAAGAAGCTGTCAATTAAGATGTTGGCATTAGGGGATAACTTGGATTCTGTTTTACTGAAAGATGCGTATATCATGGAAAGATTTGTAGCATAACTGCAAAGCTCAAGTGCAACAGACACGATTGTTTACCATCTGCAGTTTGCTTCTTCAATTTGATCTGCAAGTGTAGCAGGTATTCGCCTCCATTTATCACAATCATCACAAAGTACCCATGCGCTCCTCGCTGGAACTGTACACTCCCTTTCCCCACAAGGAAAAAGTTCTAATTTGTGTGTCTCTCCACTTGATCTTTGGCTTGCACATCCACTTTCCCCGAGATCAGACGATAATTGATTTCCTACAAAATAATTACAGTACGAAAAAGGTCTAATCATCTAATACTTCATTAATAAGGAAGTTGAACTTTCTAATTCTTTTCTTTTTCTGGATCTAAGAGGGGAGGATCACTCGTCCACGTAATGTATATATCCAGACTTATTACAATACCTGCTTCCACTCCAACGAAGATGCAGAAATCACCACCCTCCTTAACATCGTGATTAGCAACTGAATGGCATTGGCTTCCCTTCTTTCTGGAAGCATTTCTTTTCTTGATGGGTAGATCCAAAACTTCGGACCTACTCTTGCTTCCTCCATTTTCTCTAGAATTTTCAGGAATTTTTTGCCCCTTGTTAGAAGGAAATAGTTCCTTGCATATCTGTGACTCCGACAACTCAACTGCACTCACAAGTGTAGAAGGTTTAATATCCTTATTGGTCTGGACTTTTGATGCCTCACAAGAGGTTCCCATGTCAGCAAATCTTGAAAAATGCATAGGATCTCCAGAAACTCCCTCAGTGCGAGATGTGTCCAAACATGCTTTTCCAGCTGTGTTCATGGAAGCATCAATATAGTAAGACTCATCACCTAATGTGTTTCCATGTCCAAGTTTCACAGAGTCTTGAGCATTGTTCATGATTTCAGAACTAAATAGCTTGCTTTCCACACTGCAGTCACCTGCCTGAGGGCACTTTCCCCTCTTTTTTCCTTTCTTAGTGCTCTTTGGTGGCAAACTCAAACTTACAACCTCTCCAGAGGAAACGTATGCCTTCGACAAATTCAGAACATCTTGCATATTTTTCGAACCTTCTGCAAAAATTCGAAAATCAGGAACTGAGTTTATAACTTCTGAATCAGGTGAAGTTCCTGGATCTGAACACCTGTTACTATTTGCAGCTCCCAATTTATCAACCTCCTCCTGGCTAATAATTCCCGGAGGATCTACTGAAATGTAAGCAAACGCATTATCAACAATGTCCTTGTCATCAAGGTGTATATTAAACATAGAAGCATCAGACAAGGTCAACTTCTCCAAATTTCCTTTACATGGCAAACCTATACTTCTAGCCACCCCTTCCTCCAACTTGTTTTCAATACCCTTGAATAAATTGGAAATATTTTTTTCCTTTCCACTAAGATTTTCAACATAATTACTTTTTGAATAGTACTGGCCCTTCGTTTTTCCAATTTTAACCTTCAAAGAGATATTACTAGTTGGAGTGCAGCTTTTTCCCATTGGTTTTTTTGAATTTCTAGCCCTCCTTCCATTCACTAGACCATCGTTTGCCCTCTTTGGTCTTATCCCATTATTTAAATTCATGTCAAGCCCAACATTCACTTGAAAACCTTGGATTATATTTCCCAGAGATCCCCAAACCGAGGAACGAGCACGTTTGCAGAAGGCACTTCTCCTCCTCCTTGAAATTTGCAAGGAAATCGAATCCAGTATTTTGTTCTTTTTAGCTGTTCGCCTACATTTTCCATCTGGTTTATGCTCCTCATTGTTTTGATTTAATTTAAGGTTGCGCCCGCTCCTCCTCCGAGAAGAATACACAATTAGAGGTTTCGTTTCAGAAACATCATCAACTTTAACCACATCTTGGCCTTCACAATCCTTCTGCAAAGATGGATCAGCTACATGAACAGACTCGGAATAATATTTTACCTCGCTGTCTAGCTGTCTGGATGGATCAACTTCGACACAAGAATTAGGAGCATCAAATTTGACAGTATCTTTTTCTTCATCAGCTCTATGCCCAGGATTCTCGACAAAGCTTAAAGAGTCAAAAGCAGCAAGAAGGAGATCTGCACCTGAAAGATCTAATGTGTCCATGTGTACGGATGGCTCTGCTCTCACATGGGAGGGCTCAGACAATTGTGGAGAAACAGATAATATGCCGCTGACACAATTATGACTGACAACAGGAGATCCGTCCTTGAAATCACAAACATTTTTGCCTACCGATATCTCAGTAAGCATATTACTGATTTACCAGATTTGTCTGATAAAATTAGAAATCTCAACAGCAATGACAATACAACAATGTCCTACAAGTAGAACCCGGAGTCATGAAAGACTCTTTCCAAATAAATTAATGGCAGCGACATCTGATCCTAACAAATAAAAAGATACAGATAAGGAAATGGAACCCACAGCACGAAAAAACCCAATTTATAGAAACCCTACCAACGAAAATATACTAACTGGAGAAATTCACAGCTTCAACATCTGGAAACTAATTAAAGAATCGTATTTCTACAATAACATGTAGTAAACCTGTATAAGTTTCCCTAACTCTTATGTTTAATGCCTCTCATGGCATACATGAATTAATACATAAAATGCTTATAAGACGGAGAGAAACTGAGGAATAATTGATGCATGAAAGATATGTATAACTCAACAAAGATGATTTATCTGCAATGTAAACAAGACTAAAATGCTTACTTAAGTGCAAAATTTTATCTGTGATGTAAATAAGACTAGGATAACTACTTTAACTGCTAAACAGTGAAACATCCAACTCAAAAAGTACCTATAATGATGTTAATTTTACTAAGAGACAGCATTTTAGCTAATCCTGAAAAGAATTCAAAATACTTTTAAGCTTCTCTTTGCATAACATAATTTTTCTAAAAAGAACTTTTAAGCTTAGTCAAACATGCTCAAAGCATGATCATAAAAGGATGTGGCTATATTGTATTCTTCCTTCCAATGCTACTTGCATTGTTTTGGGGAGGGAATTCTCAAAACACAATAACTGGATGGCATCTACTTATATAATCATCCTTAATGTATAATTAAATAAATAAAACCACATAGAAAACAGCAGACACATAAACATACACACACACACACACACATTTGCGCACACATACATTTAATAATTCAAAAAACATAGAAAAATTAAAAAGTAAAAAAAAACTAATTTCGAGGTTGTAGACTAATACGGATAGAAATTAATACAAACAAACGCCGAAGGCGAGCCCCTATTGAGAAACCAAAAACCCTAGTCTAGAAACCCTAATTTAAGAACTCAAAATCCCAATGCCGATTCATACATACACACTTAAGGAAAATTTATTCCAAACCGTAGAAAAAGATGGAAGCAGTGATCATACCTGAAGAAAAATCAGAAGAAAAACGCCTAGAAAAATTAACCAAATTGTTTATAGGTAAAAAAACATAGAATACATCACACATGTAGTTATGTATGTATAAATTTATCTGTTGGTATGCTTTTAGAGAGAGAAATCGCTGAGCGGTGTCAGCAAACGGTTTTTAGAGAGATGGGAGGGAGGGACACCGATGTAAATATGAAGGTTTTATCTTGTTGACGCACCCGCGAGAACAAGGTACAACGTTGTTAAGTGTAAAGTACAACTTGGTAATGAGTTTGTACGCACTTGAACTGCGTGGTTGGCTGACACGTGTATTTTGGAAATTTTGAGGGTTTATTTTTTGGAAAACTATAGTTGGGGTCCCTAATCTTTTCAAATGGTGCAAATAGATGCTGAACATTTGATTCTTATCAGTTTAATCCCTAACCTTTTGTGGAAATGATATTTCAAGTTTTCACTATTAAAAGCAACTATAATAAGGGTAAATATATTCACGCCACAATTTTTATTTCTTACACTATATTTTAATAGTACTTGAGGTTCTTAAAATTTACTCATTATAATACTTATGTCCCTAAGATTTTTCATGTTATTCTTATCCTTAAACTTTTCATTTGTTAACACATTCTGTGTTTGAAAATAATTTTATATCCAAAAGTTCGTTGAAATAGCGTAAAATAACTAATTTTTCATCATATTTTTTAAAAATAAATAAATAAAAATTGCGAATTTTTTTTCCCTCATTTTAAAGTATGAAAATAAAATATTTTGATATAAATTATCATCAAAGATGAAACTTATTAATTAATGGAATGTTGAAAATAAAATTTCAATGAAAAAAAGTTTTTAAAAAATAATTATTACATGAGCAAAGATTAAGGAATTTAACTACAATTTAAAATGTGGTTTATCAAATAAATTTTTTGGTCCTCTTCTATAATAATTTCAGAAACCAAATTAAAAAAATAATTTGAAATGATGAAAATCATTGAAAAAAGGATTACATCCACGAGTTAATTGTTTCAATAATCATCCAATTTATACATGATCACGGTTTACTCACTAAATTTCAAAGTGTTTAACAGTGCTCACTAGACTTTGTTTGTATGCACTACATCCATTATCCTCAAAAATTCGTTACATTTTTCGTTGACTTAACTAACGGAAATCTGCTATGACAAGTTACAACCGTTGAAAAAATTACAACGCAGCCAAACCATTGTTTCATTATTTATCCAACTTACACTTGGTCATAGTTAACTTATCGAACTTCAAAATACTTCTCAATGGTCATTCATCTTTGAGATATTGTACTCAATTCATCATCTACCATATTTTGTTTACTTTGTTGCAAATTTATTGTACGAAAATTCAACAGGTAACTTACAATCATAAAAAAAAAAAAAAAAAAAATACAACTTACCAACATAACAAGTTAAGTTTTCGATTTTTAACCTCGGATTGAAACCTATTTTTTGCACTTTAGACGTTTAATAAATTAGAAAAATGATATTTCTAAAAGAATCATTAGAGATGTTTTATTGGGTTTTAAAGAAGTTTATGACGTCGTGGAAGTCACATTTCACATATGATGTTTTGGTGAGTTAATAATTTTGTTAAGTTGTAGTACTTTTAACATTTGTAACTTATCACGTGAAATTTTTGTTCGAACATTAGCAATGAAAGGAACGAAATATGACAGATGATAAATGGAGTGCAACATCTCAAAGATGAGTGACCATTGAGAAGTATTTTGAAATTCGATGAGTAAACTGTGACCAAGTGGAAGTTTGATGAGTAATGAAACAATGATTTGGTTGAGTTATAATTTTTTTAATGGCCATAACTTGCTCCGTCAAATTTCCGTTAGTCACGTCCTCCAATAAGAAAACAATTTTTTCAGGATGATAGATGTAATGCAAACAGACAAAGTTCAATGAGCATTGTGATAGACTTCAAAGTTCAATAAGTAAACCGGGACCATGATATACATTGGGCGATTATTGAAACAATTAACTCACCCACCCATCGCCCAAAAACTCCTTAGTCACTATTGGCTTTAGGTGGGGTTCCGGGTTGTGAAGAAAAAAGATGATGAAATATCTCCCTCTCTTTTTATTTTTTTTTCTCTTTTTTTCTTTTTATTTGATTATTTTAATTATTTTACGTGAAAAAATATAGAGTAATCATTTTTTTCCTTTTTCTAAAAATTGATCAAACGTTTGACTTTTGGTCAAGTAATGATCATTATGATAAGAATTGTTTAGAGGTCCTCTAGACGCACATTTATTATAAGATTTGGGATGTAGGGCCAAGATTAGAAGGTTTGATACCTGATAACACATTTTTGAAATGTTTGGAGTCTCTATTGCAAATTTTCCTAGAAATGTGAAAATAGTTACTCATACGGAAATAAAATAAACAAAATATAAAAATCTATTCTGAACACTTACTTATGTTAAGAGTCAAGTAAAAAACCATATTTTTAAGAGAATATTTTTATTTTATTTTCAAATTTTGAAATTAAAAATGATGGAAACATTAAGGTCTGAAAGAATAAATTTGTAGCATGATTAACATACAAAACAAAAAAAATTAAATTAAATTACGTGTTATATATTATAAATATGTCGAATAAAAAATACTCTCTCTTTAATTTGTCCTTACTCGTTTTTGGGCATTACATATTAAAGAGGTTCTCTTTATCTTATCGTTCGTCGTTTTTGGCATAGCATATTTAAGATGTTTGTTATCTACTATAGAGCATATATTCAGAAAATTATAAATTTGTTCCCTTTGTCTTGTCATTAGTTGTTTTTGGCCTAACATATTGAAGAGGATCATTATCTACCATCAAACAAACATTTGAAGAAGAAAATGTACAGCTTTAATGACATTTGGAGATTTCTAGATTCTGTTAGTTTGAATTGCCAATGACATTAATTATACCGTCTCTAAAAAAAAGTTTGTACTATCAACGTCGTTATTAAATTATATATCAACTTATCGTTCAGATGTTATATTAGTTTACTTCGATAATTCCTTTATTCAAAACTATCCATCTACTTTTGGTGTATATGCAAAATCAATTAGTGAACATTTGAAAGGGTTACGAGATTGTAACAATTTAAAGATGATTAATTGAAAATTGAAAATGTCAAGTTCGTCTAATAGCTACAAAAATAACAAATATGTTCTCTTTTAACATGTCGTCAATTTTTTTTGATAGGACATATTAAAGAGGTTCATTATGTACTTTCGAACTCATAATTATTTTGAAAATGTATGCGTTTAATGATAACCAATTAGAGAAAATATTATAGTATGAGAACAATCAACAATGTTTCAAACTATTAATGAAATATTAGAGAAGCAGAGACAAATTTAGGGGTGTTTGATGGATATTATTGAGGATAGAATGTATTTTAAATAGTGATATGATGACAAATATGTGGTTAAAAAGTAAGAAAAAATTATTAATGTGATGAAAAATATTATTTTATTGAAAAATGTGGTTGAAAAGAAATTTTGAAAGAATGTGTGTCAAATATAGACTTATTCTAAATGACAAGGATAGAAGAAATCATGTAAAAGAGATAACATAGAATGTAGTTAAACTTTCTTAATGGAAAATAATCGTAATGGAATAAGTTTTTATGTAAAGCATTTGAATAAGAAATTTTAGAAATATATAATAATTTACTCCTTTGGTGATGAATTTATCATATTTTTTTTAAATAAAAATTGAAGTAGATTATGCCTTCCAACATATATTTAAATAGTAAGTAATACTATTTGTAGATTATGATTTACATAATGATGTCATGAAAGAAAGAGAAAGAGAGGAAAAAGAGATGAAAAGAAAACAAATTCGATTATTATAATCTCTCTCTCCTTCATATTATCATTATGTACACTATTAAAATCTTGAAAGCGAATATCATGTCTAGCGGTTGTATTATATGTACATAATAGTTGACATATATATGATGTGGTGAAATATGATTAAATCAGAATTTTTCAATCAAATAAAAAAATCACTCTTTATGACACATCATCTGTATGCAAATTATTATATAACCTCATTATGTACAAATAGCATTATTCCATATCTAGATCACAATCCTTTAGTTTTTGTTAACAACTTTTATTGTTTGTTATTAGATAAAATAGAGAATTCAAGGATATAATTTATGAAATATTTATCATATATTTTAAATTTGAACCCAATGAAATTTCTACACCAAGTTTGACAATTGATTCGGAAAACTCAAGCAAAAAAGAGGAGAGTCAGAAAACTCCCGTGCTCTTTTCCCTCCTATCTTTTATTACAAGGAAAATTTTCCTTGGATTAAAAAGTCATGAAGCAAAGCTCTTTGGACTCCAAGAACAGCCTACATGTTGCCATTCAGGGGCGAGGGGGTCCT